CTCATAGTTTCGATTAGGAAGAACATTATCCTCCGGAAGCATATCTCGCATAATGGCTAATAACTCTGTGAAACTTTTATCCGACCATCCATTGCCTACCTTTAAGTTGTACAACTTTAATACCGCAGACAGTCGTGTGAATTTAGTGTAACCTTTATACAATAGTTTCTCTGCATCGCTTACCAACCTCTCAAACATTTTGGGACAATCTTGAAGATATTCTTCAGGTGCTTCTGCAATCTCTTCGACTCGATCACAATCGTATGTATCTGTGTCATTGTCATCTGAAGCATATGTCGTACTATCCCCCGGTTCAACATTCTCGTAACTTTTCTCACCATAGAATATCCAACATGTGTAACTTCGATCAATTCCACGCCTCAATAAATGTGATTGCAACCCAACTGCGTCAACCCGACCCACAAAACAACAACTTAAGCAAGGACATTTCATTCAATTGGCGTCTTCGGCGTGTTCAACAACAAACTTAACGAATTCCAATACCCCATTCTCGTACTCTTTGGACAATCGATTGGCAGACATCCATTTTTTATCCATGGTCTTACTATTAAGTAAGCTAAACAAAAACAATACTTTAAAAAAAGGACAAAGACTAAAAAGCTTAATACCAATTAGACATATTCATCGAAAATAAAAATACTATAATTATTCAAGCAACTATAGCAAATTAAAAGAACAACTAAATACCTGTAGAGAAGTCAATAACTTCTGAAACCACGCAGTGTAATATTCTTGGAAACGCTCAGAAACTCCACTCTTCACAAGTAACCTATATAAATGATCAATTAATTTCATTATAATAAAACAAGTCTATAGAATAAGAATTACATTAGAATATCTATACAACATTAAACATATATGTATATACCATTAAATAATCACTAATATTCTTTTTAACATATAATTTACTGTTATAATTTTTTTTTTAAATATAAATATTTGATTTTAAAATATGAAGGTAAAATATTAATAAAAAAAATTTGTTTAATAAAGATCTATTTTAATATTCTACATTGAAAATATAAATCAATCAAACAATTCATGTGACTCTATATTAATCAAATGGCTCATAAAGTGTAACTTTCATTTTTTTCCCCTTCAAATTATATTCTAACTTCAAATCTAGATCTTCAAATTTTAATCCAACAATCATAATTTGTTTAACTTTTGTCTAAAAACCAACTTTTCACAATAATAATCGCAATGGTAATGTATACACATTTCAATTATAATGTTTTTTCTATCATTCAATACATGCAATATTTATTGTGACATTTACACAAACACCTTACATACAATCTCATTGTGACATTTTCCCAAATACCTTACATGTAAAAACCACATGCCACACAAAACACACCATAATGCAACATTATCAACACTAAATCAACACTAAAAAAACACTAGCAATACTATCAACTAAACCAAATGCAACATTAAATATCAACATTATCAAATATATCAAATATATCAAAAATCATACCTAGAGGAGAAGAGAACCTTGGTTGTGAATGGAAGAAATGATGCAGCGGTCTTGAATGGAAGAAGGATGAGAATCTTGAAGAAAGGATGCAACGATTTTGTCAAGAGTCAAACGAAAAATAGCGTCAAAGTGGTTTTTGTTCCTAAATACTGTATTCTGAAAATGGATTTTGCAAATAATAACGTGTTACTGTGTTTTATGTTGGGCGCATTTTTTATTTTTTTTATAATATGACTTTAGGCAGCGCTTGTAGTAGAAAGCGCTGCTTAATCCCCCCTTTAGGCAACGCTTTAGCAAAACGCTTTGTAAGCCCACCTTTTAGGCAACGCTTCTCCATTTAGGCAGCGCTTTATAAATTCACATTAACCCCGTTTAGGCAGCGCTTTCACAAAGCGTTGCTTAAGCCCACCCTTTAGGCAACACTTTTGAAAAGCGCTTTGTAAGTCCACCCTTTAGGCAACGCTTCAGGACCTACCCCCTTTAGCAGCGCTTTATCAAACAATATTCACCCCCCTTAGGCAACACATTTTTAGAAAACATTGTCTAAGGCATAGGACAAAATTTGTGTTTTTAAAATGCACTTTTAGCAGCGCTTTTGATAAGAAGCGCTGCCTTAGGTGTGCTGTCTAATCTTATTTTTGGCGTAGTGGATCAATGTAATTTCAATGAAAAGATGATGATGACCTTATAGAATAATGACCTTTCAATTGTAGATTTTTTAATTCTTTAGTTTCTCCTCCAATAGGATAAAGAGAATTTCTAATGTCTACAATCAGGATCATAACCCCTTATTTATAAGAATCTTATGCCCTTCACGAAGAGTCATGTTTATTCAAGTTTAGAATCTTATACACTTTTATGAAGGGTCGTATTTATTCAAGTTTAGAATCCCCATGCTCTTCCACGAAGGGTCATGATTATTTAAGTTTTCTTATTCCATTTTTACCCATCACTAAATAGAAATAAGACTTTTAGTATCTGCATAATATTTTTCATGAAAGTTATATCTTTAGCCATAAACCTTATATTAAATAGATCACTTCAATTTGACTAATTAAATAATAGTCCTAACACATTAATTTATTACATGTATGACACAAAAATTCTAACATCCACATCATCCTTACGGAAAAGTATTGTATCAGAACAGTCAAGTTAGCAAAGTTCAATAGAATTGATTAGGCCAAAGAAATGACTCAGTTGCTACTGGCATTGTATTGAGTTTTGCACCTGCATTGGTTGTAGTTTTAGAAGACTCTGATGTGCCTCTTTCTACATTGGCATGGTCTTCTCTGATTTGACATGTTTCCTTCATTTTGATTTCCTCTACCAGTCGATTTGTTGTAGCCACCTCTACCTCTGTCAAACCACTTTCCTTTGCCTTTGGTTTCTTTTGCTGAATGTGCCTGCAAAGTCACATCACTCTTCGAGTTGCCTGCAGCTCTTTCAGTCATTCTTTATTCATGAGATTCAAGCGTCCCTTGAAGCTCTTCCTTTGTTAATTTCGACAAGTCTTTTCCCTCTTCTATAGCCACCACCACGTGGTCTAACTTAGGAGCCAAAGATCTCAAGATCTTCGAAACAACAACGTTTTTTGTTAATGTTTCTCCACATACCTTGATTTGATTCACTAGTTTTGTAACCCTAGTGAAGAAATCAGATATGCTCTCACTATCTTCCATCTAAAGCAATTCATACGTTCTCTTGTGAGTTTGTAACCTCACTTCTTTCACCTTTTCTACACCACCAAAAGACTTCTCAAGAACCTCCCAAGCTTCTTTTGTAGATTCTGAATCACTCACTTTTTAAAAAAATTTTGGACTCAGACATTGATGAATTATAAAGAGTGCTTTATAACTCAGCTTCTCAGGTTCTGTGTATTTCTTCTTTTCTTCTTCTAAAGCGTTTTCTCCAAATGCTTCCAATTCATCCTTTACAAGATCCCAAAGACCTTGACACCTGAATAAAACTTTCATCTGTTTACACCAATTCTCATAGTTGTCTACTTTCAGAATTGGTAGAGTTGTTGGATAATTTGCATTCTCATAACTCGCCATCGTGAATTCTTCTTCTTCATCAATCGTTCTTGATCGATACTTCCCTTGAATCGATTAACCGAGCTCTTGATACCAGATGTTGGAAATTCACCAAATATCTATGATGAATTTCTACCAATCTTGATGAACAAGATTGATATCACCACACAATAACAATGAATTATGAGAAAAGAAAACAAAAGAAAGAAGATAATTATTTTCTACAGAGTTTCTCTCTTTCCACAAACTGTGGAAAACTTTATTAAGTACTTGCAACTGCAAATTCTGTGATTACAATGAATTGACTTCATTATAAAATTAGGGGTTACTCCCTCTATTTATAGATTTAGGTTCGCTTGCTCCGAAGTCAAACCCCAAAACTATAAAAGCCCAAAATACATATTTTGGTGCTAAATCAAATCTATCTATTTTAAATCTAAATCAAATCAATCTAAATCTAAAACAAATCAAATCTGTGTGTAGTATTTTCGACACACCTACTTTGACACTTTCTTATCCCTGTTGAGCAAACTGGTTCGACATAAGAAATTACTTTCAATAAAATACTCTTAGAATAATTGCTAACCCATCTCGCCACGGCGCCTATTGAACACACTCTACGATTAATACAATTAATAATTTCATACAAAAACTAACTATAATTAGGCGAATGCATAGTATTAATAAATACTAGTAATATTAGCATTCAACAAACACTCCATGTTTCAAAAAGCTAAATGCGCATGAAAATACATTCCCATGAAAATCTCAAAAGCTAAGTTGTAAACAAAGGTTTTTATCTTATTACTATTGATACTAAAAAAAGCAACAATTATTCCTAGCTAAATGGGCAGCCCAATATTTCTCTGTTAGATTTCTAAAATCAATACTTTAATTAATTCATACTCAATTCAAGATGAAATAGAAAATAAAAGCCTATCTTTTGAATCAATGTAATTTCAATAAAAAGATGATAATCTTATAAGATAATGACCTTTCAATTATAGATTTTTTAATTCTTTAGTTTCTCCAATAAAATAAAGAGAATTTCTAATGTCTACAATCAGGACCATAACCCCTTATCTATAAGAATCTTATGCCTTTCACGAAGAGTCATGTTTATTCAAGTTTAGAATCTTATACATTTTTATAAAGGGTCGTGTTTATTCAAGTTTAGAATCTCCATGCTCTTCCATAAAGGGTCATGATTATTTAAGTTTTCTTATTCCATTTTTAACCATGACTAAATAGAAATAAGACTTTTAGTATGTACCCAATATTTTTCATGAAAATTATATCTTTAGTCATAAATCTTATATTAAATAGATCATAGATCACTTCAATTTGACTAATTAAATAATAATCCTAACACATTAATTTATTACATGTATGACACAAAAATTCTAACATCCTTATCCATACGGAAAAGTATTGTATCAGAACAGTCAAGTTAGCAATGTTCAATAGAATTGATTAGGCCAAAGAAATGACTCAGCTGCTGCTGTCATTGTATTGAGTATTGCACCTGCATTGGTTGTAGTTTTAGAAGACTCTGCTGTGCCTCTTTCTGCATTGGTAGGAGGATGAAAATACTGGAAGGGGCTGCATGGAAAATATGGTATAGGAGCAATTGGCGGAAAATTGACGTCGCTATTCACATTGGTACAATGAGGTTGACCAGCGCTACTCGTAGGAGCTTTCTTTTCGGATTTTTTGGAGGGTTTCGAACGTTTTGCTGCTCGACCAACTGGAATAGGATTCTTCGATATAGATTCCATATCATATATACTTGAATCAAAATTGGTTACAGCATTTGCACCTTTATATTTTAGGGCTGCAATATCATAGGCCTCTGCAGCTTCCTCTTGGATTTCTGTAAACATACAATAATAAGAATATTCAACTTCAAAATATAAACACATAAAACATGCAAGAATCAAGATGATATTATTTTTCAAGCTTTAGATTATTCCATACTCAATCAAACAAATCCAACACTAACTCTAGTTCGTAAAGAAAATAGCAACCAAAATTGTGCAAATTAGGGTGACAAAACATTGAAAATGGACTCTTTCAAATTGGGACATCATTGCATTCATTGAATCAATATCTGACATTTAAAAATCATATAGATTTTGATTTTATTTTTCTAAATACAGATTATTGAACTTAAATACTGTCTAATCACTGATGTAATGAGTGTGTGAAATCAAGAGATCTAGATTGCAGAGAACATATATGGATAACAATCTATGAGATTTAAGCTAATAGTGTATGTTATACTATAAGACATTTCTCTAAATCCAACTATATTGAACTTAAAAGCTTACCAAATAATCCCAAGTATAGATCTTTGTTTTCAGCAACTCGACCAATTCTTGCTTGCCATTTACCACTGCGCCGGTGCCTGAAGGATACAAGGAATGATAAACACTTGGTATCATATCATATTAATAATATAGTAGTATGTTGTTTCAAATTTCAAACCTTGTAACACCCCTATATTTTGAAGTTCCCCTTGAAAAACCATTGCTTTCCCTGCAAGCAAAGAGGAGGTGCAGTTTTAGGCAAGGAACTTAAATATAGTGCTAAATGATTAGTAGCTTAGCTCATACAAACCTTCGCAATGAAGTAATATATTCTTGCTTTCCTACATGTTTCATCTCCTCTAATTCCTTTGCATAATCGGAAACCTGTGATATTGGCAAATACAAATATGTAAGTGATGAAAGTTCCAATATAGGAATGTTCAAAAATCATAAATTCCAGATAAAAGTGATTGTTACTCGAAAGTTTATGGTAGCTGTTGGTCCCCAGTACTTTAATGCTGCCAAATCATAAGTCCTCGCTGCATTTTTTTCACTATCATACGCACCTAATAATAATCACAACAATTAGTTCAGCATGTACTAAGTAACTGTATCATGCTTGAGGAAAGTTAAGAAAAATCTATAATAGAGTTTAGTAGAAACATTTCTCACCCAAATACACTGTAGTAATAGTCAAAAGCCATGTCAAGAATTGCACCATTCCATGTCAAGAAAATAAACAAGAAATTCAGCTTATGGTGAGAAATCAAAATATTTCTTACAAAGAAGCAATGAAGTTATGAAATCAAAATATATGCATGCAAAACTCTTTTCAGCATTATAGTGAAACAAGGGAGATAAAGAAAAGAACCTTGACGTCCTTTCTTGACACGACCCTCTAGCTTACTACTGTTATCCCATAGATTCGCTTCAAATTTGCCCGTCCATTTGTGCCTAACATACATGGCAATTTTATGAATGTAGATGTAATAACTAAACTTTTATAATAATAAAATGTTAATTTAATGAATACCTTGAAACCCCTCTGTATATCGAAGTTTGTTTAGCTGAGTTATGAGTTGTGTTTTTGGAACTATCGCAATCTACTGCCACAGGGGATTTCTCAGAAATAAGTGCGATTGCATCTTTGGATGAGTCACCTAACTCAGTAGTACCTATAGAACGAGTTTCATTATTCGATTCTGATCCATTCAACTCGGAAGCAAAGTTGTTAACAGTAGTAGAAACGGCTAAAAGTTCATCAATTGATTTAGGATATAGTTCGTCATTGAAAAACAATGAAGCAAGACTACAATCATCTACGGAAAACGAGTTTGGGTTCTCCTCAGCAAGATTTTCCATTTCCTGCATTTTGTTTTGTGATGAATCCATGCAAGAAGAAGAAGGAAAAAACAACAAATAATGAAGCAGTGTGTTAGAAAATGGCGTAAATGTCAGGAACCATTGGCATGATATATAGGCATATTAATGAGAGTCAAAGAAAGATAAGGCAGTTAGGAATAACAGCAACAACCATTTTCAAATAAACCGGTTTTCCGCGCGCATACAGACAAACAAATTGAGGGCAAAAGCCAAATAATATACCTTTTTCTCCTTGTGACTCTGAGGTAATAGGGGGGTTACTACTATGAGAATTAAGATAAATATGAAGTGTTTTATATGCAACACAAATTGAGGTACATACATTTGACTGTACACAGACACAATACTACACTTCTTAATTTAAATAAGAGTAACGTATTTGTGCTCTAAAAAGTAGGACATACTAAGCATTTTAAACATTGGAATTTTATTTTATTTTATTTCAAAAATTAAATGTACAATTTTGCAAGACAATATTCCTTTATTTAATTTTTTAATATACATTCTTAAAGCATATATGTTTCAACACTATTAGATAAAAGTCATTTCATAACTGTTGAAAAAAGAATATCAATACGTCTGATCAACTGTTGTGAGGTAGAGAGTGATTATATGGATGATGTTTTTTACTACGGTCGTGCAACTATTAATTATAAATTAGATAGCGCATTATCTGTTACAACAGTTACTTTAAACAACTGTTGTGACATTCTTTAACACATAATATTTAACAATGATTGTTCTAAACAACCATTGTGATATACACACTGAGTTTATTATAAATTATGCGTGGAATGCTTATTTCGTCATGCTCACTGAACATATAATCTTTCAATCTGATCTAGAACATTATAATATGACAAATTAAGTTATATTAGAAGAACAAATTACACGTTAAATGCTAAGCAAAAATTCTTCAGCTCCTTATCCATATTTAGTAAATTTAACAGTTAGAACTTGGTTTATAATGCTCCTAGTTCTTCAACCTCTCATTACTTCACCTCTAATTCATTACAAAATATTATTTACTTTGCAAACAAAATTAGAGATGGAGAAATGGACGGTTAAGAACTAGAAGCATTAAACCAATTTTTAACCGTTAAAGAGCGAAATGCAGATAATGAGCTGAAGAATTCTTATCTAGCATTGAATGTGTAAATTATTTTCTAATATAACTTTATCTATCATATTATAATTTTCTAATGCAATTCGAAAAGCCGTAAAGGGTTGGAGAAACACGCAAACCATATAACATATAATAAACTCATCTTTTAAACAAAAATTAACAACAACAAACCTTAAACAACATACAAAATACAACAAACAACTCTTATAAAAACAATAAAATCATCAAAACATAGCATTAACTACATACAACATATAACTTTTATTAACAACAATAACAACAACGTACCAACTCACAAAATGTTTCAGAAACATACTTGTTCCATAATGACATCCACAATGAAAAGAGGATGAAGCTGAATTGAGAGCTGCAAACTTGTGTTAAATTTGATGGATGTCTTTCTGAGTCTTTCACACAAGTTTGTAGTGCTCACTTTAGCTTCATCCTCGTTAATGTTTTTCATTCACCTTCCCTACCTACAAGTCAAAACAAGCAGAAATTTTAAACATTATAAAACAAGGTACTAAAACATAAACAATAATACATAAACAGATTTGAAACATAAATCATTGTGAAGATGAATATGTAAGGTATCCATTTCCTAAGATTTGATGCAAGAAAGATAACCCTTCAAAGAAGACGAGTTCGCTGCATGAGTTTAGGGTTTCTATATGAGAGAGACAAGTGAGAAAGATGTCAGGATTTTGTTTTGAGAGAGACGAGTGAAATAGATGTTAGGGTGTTGTTTTGAGAGAGACAATTGTTATGTACTAAAGTGAGAGATAATTTCGCTTATATATAAATAATTAAGACCGTTCATTACAATTGATAATACAAACCGTGATGAAATTATTGCACCTTACACCACGGTTAATTATAAGAACTGTGATGATATACAAGGTCAAACCCATTTTATCGCGATAAATAGAAAATTATTGATGTTGGATTCGAACTCTTTCACTCTAGATACATTTCACTACGGTTGTTAATTGCGACTGTAATAAAATGTCTTTTAGTAAAAAAAAATATGTCCAAAAAGTTATTATCACGGTTAACAAAATGGCAGTTGTAATATAATGTTTCAAAAGATCTATTTTGTAGTACTAGAATGTCTAGATGGAACTTATAATTACACATCATATATTCATTATTTCTAATATATACTCAATAAACATTCCTTCACATACTTTAATAAAATATATTAAATGATTCACATTAATAATTTTTTATCATTATATCTAAACAATATTTATTTATTTATGCAAATTTTTTCAATAGGACTCATAAAAATGAGGAGTGAGAATAGAATCATTCTTGTAGTTCTATGTTTGAAAATGGAAAATAACTTTTTTTAGAACTATCTTTTAAAATCAAAATTTTGATTTACTGGTTTTGTCTGAAATAAAACTCTACTCATTTTATATGGTAGAGAATAAATTTAAAGTGGATAAATTAACAGAATTTCATAAGATTATTGATGATATAGAGAATATTGAGGTGAAAATTAATTATGTGAACAAAGATCTATTCTTGTTAAGCTTATAATCCATATTCTTTAAGTACTTTACGGATATCATTATTTATGGTATGGAAGATACTATCATTTTGGATGAGATCAATACAATTATGAGTGTTGACCAAGTGACTCAAAATAGAAAAGGGAGGGTGAATTGTGATATTCGAATTTCCAAATAATTAGTTTATGAAATCTCTTTGATTTAAATTTTTTATGCTAATGGAGATAAAACGACATAGATAAATTAGCCAAAAAGATAAATAAAAAATATAAATAAGATAATGATTAAAAAGATCATACTAGAGATTTATTCTTGTATGGTCTAAATCACTTGGCTTAATTCATCCCCCAAGAGTTTTTTCTTGAGATTTCCACTAAAAAATCTTGAGGTTGTGGATGAATTCCTTTTATAGATGTTTTTGCATGATGTCAAAACTAGGAATTGATTTAGCTTTTATGTACATTGAACGATATCTCTGATATTTGTGTGCACCCTTGCATTAGAAGTCATTAGGAACCTTAAGAAGCATATAGAAAAAGTTTGGTTTGGTTATCCATTGGTCTCATAAGTGAAAAATCAGTTTTTGCACAAAATTAATGTGCATGTGTCGACACATACGAGTTTTATGTCGATACATGTGTTGTTATTTTAAAGCATATAATCCTCTGTAAGTACGTGTCGACTCATCCTTTTGTTCATATCAACACATGCCTATAAACTCTATGGGTTGAGGCATATGAGCTTCGTGTCGACTCATGTGTTGTTGTTTTAAAGCATGTAAGTCTCTGGAAGTACGTGTAGACTCATGACCTGCTACAGGTTGACACATGTGTCAATATTTGGCATGCATGTTGTAACACCCCAATTCTACCCAACGAATTATAAAAAACCAGAGTTACAAAATTTCAATATATAAATAGGATGTTACACTTACTATTTAGAACACTTTAGTTAATCACATGTAAAACAGATACATAACATATAAAATCCGGATGAACTGATAATAACCTGTTTAGTCTTTGAAAACAAAACAATTTTTATAATTAAGCAGCGGAATCACAATTTTCAACTCAAATGACATAACATCTTTGTCAACCTGAAAATAACTTTAAAACAACAAGTATTTAACGAAAACAACTTAAAATTCAGCAACGAAAGTAAAATCAACAATAAGGCAACAAATGTCCCCCCCCCCCCCCCCCCCCCCCCCCCCCCCCCGAGTGTTACGTATTAGAGCAATGAAACTGACTCAAACCACTGAAGGTAAACAACATTCACTCTAGATTATCTGCACATTACGAACATGAGGTAATATTCAAACATAAGGGGTGAGATATCGAACAATATAACAGAACACATGATAAATAATATATTAGAATCAGTTCATACAAAATCACCACTTCGCAGCTCTTTAACAACTTTTAACATAAATAATTCATCTCCGCAACAACTCAGGATGCAACATGAAATGCGACTTGTTTTTATGCACATGCATGTGGTACCAACGGATTAAAACTCCCAACTTAATAATCTACCAATTAATAGAGGCATCAACAAGGCATAAGCCTTCAACTTTATATTTTCCAATTCAGGCCAACTTACCAAGCATGAGTTCCCAACTTGATATGCTATGTATGAGACAACAATATGAATGTAGTAACAACAACAACAATAATTCAACAACAACTCAACACAACTCAACATTGGCCATAAGCCTACAACTTGATATCTGTCAATAATTAGAGGCATCTCAATAAAATTCATCATCACCTGCCAAATCTCAAATTATAACAAAGTATACAATACATCGTATTAACCAAAATATACTACGACGCCCTGCGTAATTATTCGGGTAATTCGACTATATCCGGTTAAGTAGTTTTCTGCTAAAATACTATTGTTTTTGGTTCTGTACTGTTATCTCCAAGTTCATACAGTTTACTTCTAGTCAATTATAAATTACATTAACTCTCTTACTACTAACTTATATTTACTAGAATTCATTAATCGTTTGGGGATAAAATACCTTAAGAATTCTAATTATTATACTGCGATTATTAAACTAAATTAAATAACTAATTACCCTGCACAAAAACTAGTTAATAATGATGTATGCCCCTCGAGACAGTGGCCATACTGCTCGGAACCTTCTCTTCATGCTTCTGTACTGGCCGACACACCCCATACAACTCGACACGTCGCGCAGCCTTGTGCCGCTCGACACAACTACATGTTCCCCTCGGCACACCTTATAGACTTGTGCCGCTCGACACCTAGCACATGTGATCCTCAACACACCGTGCCTCCTTATGCCGCTCGACGCAAATACCTGTGCTCCTCGGCACGTCGCGTCTTCACACTTTTGC